AGAAAAAAAAGTATGTGGAAAGTGAAGAATGTATATCATGTTGAATGTTAATTTATAGTAGAGTTAGGGAATATAAAAAAGGTAACAAAAAAAGAAATTAATATAAATTGATGTAATTACCTATTTTATCTATACTACTTTAAAAATAAACATGTAGGAGAAATAAAATTTAAAAATCATTATTGTGAAATTAATTCATTAATACTATGGGTGACTATGGTAAGTTGGGTTATTTTGAAATTTACAATAATATGTGATATATGTGGTGGAACATAATTGCATTTCAGTCCCACGATTTTTTTAATGAAAATATTATAATAAAAAAAACTCATTAACCAATAAAAAGATACTATTTTGCCACGTAGGATAGATGAAATTTGAAAATTGGGTTTTTTTGGCAATTAATATAATATTGTGCATAAAATTTAATTAACCCAAATTAAGTGGAATGTCCATTTATATATTTACGTTTTTTAATATGAAGCAATGGATTAAAAAGGAAAATCAATAACCAATAAAAAGACACCATTTTGACATGTAGGAGAGATAAAATTTAAAAATCATTATTGTGAAATTAATTCATTAGTAATATGGGTGAATATGGTAAGTTGAGTTATTTTGAAATTTATAAAATATTATGGACTCAATCTCCTCAATTAGAAAACTTTGATTGTGTATCTTAGTTTTATATATAATATAGATATGATTTATAGAAATTACGATCAACCCCCGAGGTAAGGTCAAATTATGAAAAAATCCTTCTTGTTTGGATAAAATGCAACAATCACTCAACTATGTATTGTTTTACACGTTAACATTTACAGAGGTCGAATTTACCAATTGATAGAGAGTTTTTCCGTAAACAATACATCGTTAAAAAGGATAGTTATAGTTACCCAAACACGAGGGGGTGTTTCGTAATTTAACCTCACCTCAGGAGTTGACCGTAATTTGACCTATGATATATGAAGAAGAAGGTAGGAAGTTTGGCGGCTCCTTTGATGCTACACCCGGTGATAAACACTGGGTGAATCTTCTGAATATATAATAAATAATTAAATATACATGTCAGTAGAAGACCCACCTAATATTTATCATCGAAATAACGGAGGTTTGGCATACACCAAGAGGATATAAATTCTCAAAGAAACTGATCACTCTCCATTCATCCCATTTCATTTTTATACATAATTATAATTTATAATATTGGCTGATATTATATCTGCACGTACGAGATGTATACCGACTCCGCCTTAGCCGCCGCCGTGCTCGCCGTTGCATGGGTTATGCTATTATTCATTGTCAAGAAATCATATAGCAGATCAAAGAATATTCCGGCATTGCCACCAGGTCCGAGGGGGTGGCCCCTCGTCGGAAACCTCCTCTCCCTTGACCCGGAACTCCACACTTACTTGGCAACCCTCGCACAAAAATACGGCCCGATTTACAAACTAAAACTCGGCCGGAAAACCGGCATCGTCATCAGCTCCCCTTCCATCGCAAAGGAAGTGCTCAAGGATCAAGACACCACCTTCGCCAATCGCGACGTGCCGGTGGCCGGCAAAGAAGCCTTCTACGGCGGCGTCAACATCGTCTGGAACCCGTACGGCGCCGAGTGGCGGATGCTGCGTAAAGTCGCCGTCCGGGAGATGCTGGGCGGCGCCACTTTGGACTCCATGTACACTCTCCGGCGAAGGGAGCTCCGGCGGACGGTTAGGTACCTGTACGGCAAGGCGGGGTCCCCGGTGGACGTGGGCGAGCAGATGTTCGTGACTGTGCTGAACGTGATCACGAGCATGCTGTGGGGCGGTACGGTGGTGGCCGCCGCCGGGGACGGCGGCGGCGGCGGCCGCCTTGGAATGGAGTTCAAGGAGCTGCTGGGTGAGATGACGGAGTTGATGGGGGTGCCGAATATCTCCGATTTCTATCCGGGTTTGGAGAGATTCGATTTGCAGGGAATCGGGAAGAAGATGCAACGGCTGGCTCGCAGATTCGACAGAATTTTCGAAACTATTATTCATCAGAGATTGAAAATGAATGCAGAAGATAAAGTAAATGAAAGCAAGGAAGATTTTCTGCAGTTTCTATTGCAGATGAAAGAAGATGGAGGAGATGCTAAGACTCCTTTTAACAAGTCCCATCTCAAAGCTCTACTCATGGTATGTATTTCATATATAACACCCGGTTAACTCCGGGTCAAAATCCCGTTCACCGGCCCGTTGACAATGGGCCGGTTTCGGGTATGGGTCCGACTCCGGCCTATGTCTAGTATGCCCATCATGGACTATTGGAAATTGCCCGGAGTTTGTTTCTGATTTCGATCGGAAATTTTTTCTTCCCATTTTGCAATTATATTTTCGTTCCAACTTTTCGACTTTTTTTTAGTAGATTCTTTTTGTAGAAATTGGGGTACATATGAGATTTCAATTTTCGATCTGATTTTAATTTTCTTTTTTGAAATAATATTTTCCATTCTATTTCCGTTATTTTTTTTTCCTGAAATTTTGTGTATGTACATATGAGATTCCAATTTTCAATCTGATTTTACTTTCTGAAAATAAATCAGAAAGTTTCAATTTTTTTTTATTATTATTATTATGCATTCTACATACACGTGAATAAATAAATGAAATTTATACGATCTTCGCCTGCTATCCGAAAATTTTCAATTCAGGAACAAATTTTTTCATCCCAAATTACGAAATTCCAATTTCCCGGTTTTGTAAAACTTTTTGAAACAAAATTGTAATTAGTTATTGACTTCCGAAATGTATGGATTTTTTTTCGAAAGTGCTATTCCAATCCGACATGTTCAATTTCCACCCCTCTATATATAAAATTCATCATATGAAAAAAAAATGTGTTGCTAATTTCTGTACCCAGGATATGGTGGTCGGTGGAACCGAGACGACAGCCAACATGGTGGAATATGCTTTGTCGGAGATGATGAACAAGCCCGAAATCCTCATCAAAGCACAGAATGAACTGGAGACAATAGTAGGCAAAGACAACATAGTAGAGGAATCCCACATGAAAAAGCTCCCGTATTTACACACCGTCATGAAAGAGGTGTTGCGTTTGCACCCGGCACTTCCACTTCTCGTCCCCCACTGCCCCAGCGCCACGTGCAATGTGGCCGGATACACGATTCCCAAAGGGGCCCGCATTTTCGTCAACGTGTGGGCCATCCACCGGGACCCGTCCGTGTGGGAAAATCCACTGGATTTTCGCCCGGAGAGGTTTTCGGATGGGGAATGGGATTATAGTGGGAACGACTTCAATTATTTCCCGTTCGGTTCCGGGAGGAGGATGTGCGCCGCGGTAGGTATGGCCGAGAGGATGTTTATGTATTCACTTGCTTCTTTGGTTCACTCTTTCGATTGGAGTTTGTGCGTCGGAGATAATTTGGACTTGTCCGAAAAGTACGGGATTGTAATGAAGAAGAGAGTACCGCTAGTTGCGATTCCAACTCCAAGGTTATCTAATCCAGGTCTCTACGAGTAACATTGCTCAATGATTGTTCGTTCGTGCTATATAAAATAATATTGTATTTCAATAGTTGTGGTTTTTACAAGAAATTATATATAATCAAAATAAATGTAAAATATAAGTCAATATTTATGGAGATTTATATGTAAATAGAAACAATGTTACTATTTGCACACCATCTATAGATAAATTGCTTTTTTTTTTTTGGAAAAACAACAACACCTTCATTGATAATTTGATACTATTGAGAGTCAGACATTACAATATCCAAAATAGCAGCAAGAAAAACATTTGTTGAGAAAGTAAACATAGATGATAATCTAGCGATCTCATGAGTGCCACAATTACCTTCCCTTTTAACATGATAAACTTTAAATTTCTCGAATTGAGCAACTAACATTTTGATGTCAGCTATGAGATTTCCATACATGGTTATCAGATCGTAAAAATATCTCGTATTGTTTTGCTCCACATCTCATACCGTATCGTTATCGTATCGTAAGATATTTAACCAACTATTAAAATAGTAAAAAATATATATCTATATTATAAAAATATTACAAACATGTAAAATGTAATATAACTACTTATTTCGAAATAGATATAAACTCGAGTTTCAACATCATATTATAAAATATGACAAAAATATAATTATTTATCAAATAACATCATCTAAGAGGGTGTTTGGCTAGGCTTATAAGATGTTAGCAATAACTTATAAGATGTTTAAGAGCTTATAAGCGATTCTAGTGTATTAGGTAATTTTTTTTTTAAAATGTCTTAAAAATTCAAAATATTATAAGCTGGTGGAGATCAAATATTTTCTTTTTAAAGGTACATTTACCCCATCTGTTTATTTAAGATTTTATAATGAGTAAAAATAATTTGTAAGATCATTATCCAAACACTTGAAAAAAATAATTTTAAAAGTAAGATGTAACAACTTATCAGCTCTTAAAACAGCTTATCAGATGTAAGAGCTTATCATTTGTTCAAAAGAAACTTAGCCAAATGGGCCCTAAGTACAAATTCAAATAACTAATTTCTAAAATATTCTATCTCTCATAATTTTGAAGATCAATGTCACTTAAATCATCCTCATCTACCAATTTTAAATGATTCATCATCATCAATCGCAAAACCCAGTAAAAGAGTCTTAAATTGGTCTTGATTCATCATCATCAATCGCAAAACCTAGTAAAAGAGTCTTGAATTGGTTTTGAATTGTAAGTATCCATATATATTGAATAAGGGATGTGATATTATGAAGATTGGTGAAGAAATTTGAAGAGAAAAGTGTGACATATGATTGAGATATTGAAGAAATTTATTCAAAACCGTTTTTTAGAGAAGTTGATTGCGTTTTTTTTTAATTGTCGACTAATATCGTATCATATTGATACGGCGATACGTTACGATATCTCGCGATATTTGACGGTATTTATAATCAATAAGCGATACAGAACCCGAGTTGTATCGTTTTGATTGGAACCATACCGTATCGCAATATATATCGCGGTATATCGCGAGATTAACTACCATGTTTCCATACACTATAAGAAAAATGACTTTTAACAATATCCCTTTAACAATGTTCAGTAAAAGCGTGTTGTGCTACTACGTATTTGACAACATGCTATTAATGAGCGTTGTCGTTTGTGTCCGGTAAAATTATTTTACAACACTCGTATTTTGCGCCTTATTATATATGTATACCACAACATGCGGATACATCTTGTAACTGTGTCGTTTGAAAACGTTAGACGACAACACTCTGTTCCCTGTGGTAAAACATAGTTGCACAAGCCTCTCAGCGTGTGGTCAATAAGGTTACCTATAACAACTTACACTGAATGTTGTTACATGATATTAAGAAAATAAAATATGCGCGAAATTATGTTTCCTTCTTTACAGCTATTTTTTTGTGACGTTTCATATTTTCTCTCATTCTTCTCAATTTTGTTTTCTCTCTGTCCCGATTCTTCTTTCATCTCCCATAGTGGGAGTTGTCTCGTCGCGGGGTAATAGAGTTGATCGAGTTATCTCCTCGTGGGAGTTGTTATTTATTGACACTGTCAATGATTTGACGCGTTACTTGTATGTGTTTACATATAACCTTGTGCGTGATATATATATATATATATATATATATATATATATCTATCTATCTTATTAATAAAAGTAAGGTTGTTCTGGTGAAACCCTAGGGTTTTTTTTCCCGCTCATTTTATGGTTATATTTGTTATTTAATTATTTTTTTACTTTTATTTTTGTCATTTAATTATTTTTTACTTTTATTATTTTATTATTACAATTTTCATTTAATTAGTTCTAAGCTTTAATGTGTCTAATATTTTTTGGTTGTTTATTATTTTACCTCTTCTTCCCCATGACTTCCACTTTTCATCTCTCTCCTCTCCACTTCATCTCCTTCACGATTCTCTCCCTCCCACACCCCCCCCCCCCCCCTCTTTTTTTTTTTTTTTTCTTTACTTCTTTACAAATCTAGCATCTATATCCATATTCTTCATTTTTGTGTAAAATTTTGTTTCCCCCTTTCATTATTTCACAATTTCTTCTTTCCCAAATTTGGCAACCCACCATTCTTATTCCACCACCACCACCGAATCCGGCCAACCCCAACCAACTCCGCCAAAATCTGCGCAAATCCAGCCACACATAACTAATCCCACGGCGATTTGTGCTCCACCCACTCCACTTCATCTTACGGCTCTTCATACTCCGAATTATCCACATCTTTTCTTCACACCGAATCTATGTATCCATCTTCAAGTCAAGTTCTCTTTCTCCAGATTTCTACTCCAAATCTACATCTCTCTAAAATCCTACCCGCCTCTCCTACTTCTTTTCTCATATTTTTCTCCCTAAATCTAACTATGCATACATATTTTGAATCTCTTCAATCTCAAATTTTCTGGATTTAATTCGATCCAATAAATTTCATCCGTTTTTTCTCAATTTTATGTGATTTGTCGAAACGGGGTATGATGAATGTGTTAATGTTTATATATCTGGAGTTTTCCGGAGGTTTGTTTAGTTTTTTATTTTTCTCCATTCTAAAAACAATAGGGGCAGAGATCGTTCCACTGCGCTAGATATCATCTCCATTCGTCGGATAATTTAAATTCAATATTTTTTTAACATTTTTTTGTGTTCTTTATCAGAATACAATTCTTTTTTTTTTAATATTTTTTGCCGGATTAATGTACAATTCCTCTTTCTTTGTTTG